TTCGTTTAAAGGAATCGACTGCCAGTCAATGACCGAACGCGATAATATACATTTACTAAGTATTTGGCCGAACGCTATTTACGTCCGTTAAGAAATCAAAGGTAAGGACGAGCGTTCGGTATAAGACCGAACACTACTTAGGACGAACGCTAGGTAGATGACCGAGCAGACGAACGCTTAGTATAAGACTGAGAGTTCATTAGGACGAATGCTAGGTATACGACCGAGCGCTACTTTTAACGAACGCACGGTATAAGACCGAGCGCTACAAATTTTTAAAGTGCAAGATATATATATTTTACTTTATTTTGAAGACTAAGGTACACCTATTCTGAACCGAACTCTTCAGAATAGTATTTTCACATGAGAACGCTTGTTCTCGATCAGAGTTCTTTTCAAATGAAAGAATTCCATTTTTAACAAATTTACTAGAAACCGAACGTTAGAGGACCGTTCGATAACGAACGTACATTATCATATTCATAAGTGCATATTTCAAGTTTTCCAATTTAAGTTCCATCATACCAGTATATTCTTTATACTTCATATCAAATATCAATTTATATACTTTATAACATTCATTTTAATAATTCACATTCAACATCATCATACAGATTTATTTCATACACCATAATTATCCATGTTCATATTCATACATCTCAACCATCATCCATCATGCATTTCATACTCATACTGCATACATACATTCAGTCATTCATCAACATGCATTCGTTTTCAGCAAACATACAACAACGTACGAATTAAATCAATAAGCTTCCCTTACCTCTAAAATGTGACCGGACGTTCTCAATGCAGAAACACAACCTCTCTACCACAGTTCCTTCGCTCGTTAAACCAAACTACACAAGGTGATACCCGACACTATCAGATCTACTAATTTTGAAGAATTGAATCAACGCACGAACTCAGAACTGAGTTGCATGCTTTGGAAAACGAACGACAGAGGACAATGGGGAGAACTTACCAGTCCAGCTTCACAAACCGAACGGTTCTTCTTGAAGCCCTTGTCACCAGGAGTCTTTCTATGGTGTCGGAATCGTGATCGGAGGAGATGAAACGGTGGTGATCTTAGAGAGAAGGTGGGGAAATCGTAGAGAGAAGGAGGAGAGAAAAGAATTCTCCAGAATTCTGAGAGGAGTGTGCGTGTAGAGAGAGAGAAGAGTTTTTCTGAGAACGCATGTTTTGTTTCCAGCGCCGAACGAACGTCCACTCCTCGTCAGCCACGTGCATTCCACTAACGCTTTCTAGACTCCTCTCGTCGTGACACCTGGCGTTCGTTAGTGAACTGTCGCGCTCTCCGAGTGACACGCGGACTGCACAGCGCTCAACACTCCAGGCTCCATGCAGTGCGACACCTGGCGTCTGCTGTTGAAATGCTTCTTCCTGCGGCTGCCACGTACGTTGTTGAGGTGTCTCGTTCTCCAACTGCCACGCGTACTCCAGCGTACATTATTTTCCAGGGTCTTACAGAGATGGTCAATCTTTAGAATATAAGTTAGCTATAAGGTCTAAGAGAAAAAGTGTAAAGAAGAGAGTAAAATATGTAATGTAAATTTTACCCAGAATGAAATAATTGTGGTATGGGATTTGTGGATAGATATGAAGAGAAGGAAAAAAAAATTTGAATTTTGTACGATGAAATTTATCAAATGAACAGATGTCTAAAGCCATGAAATGTCTTTCACTGGAAGCCATGGTCCAGGAAGCTACTTCCATCACCTCCAATTTCAGGAACAGAGACGACATCTTCCCATGACTAAACTCCTTTCAACAGGGGAAGCTTTGCATGGCTTCATATTGCGGAACTTCACTTCAAATACAAACCCGTAGTTATTACCATACCCCTTTGCGGCGAAACCCATCCCCTTGGTCCAAACAAATTGTTGTAGAGAACCCATAATTGTACTGGCTTGCATCTTTTGCTTCAGATCTTACATGAGAGATTCGAAGGAAGTGGATGCATGAGTAGGTTTTTCAATCTTCGCTGAATCTGGAAACATCCCCTGGGCCTCATTCACTTCAGATGTTATCAAATAACAAAAAAAAAACACCAAAAATCACACAATAGAAAACCTGAACACTAATTTTTTTTCGCATTTACAGTCAGGAACATATAAATCGACACACGTTTTCTTCTTCGCTTTGACTTGTCATATATAGAGAACAAGCACACAAGAGCAACTTTGACACACACAAAACCATGTTCTTATAGTTCACAATACCCATAATCAACCCAGTAAAACATATTTAGTTTTGTCTTCCGGGCAAGAAAGAAAAATCCCCAACACCCAACAACAATTAAAAAAGTTAATCAAATTACAGTACCTTGGATCGACGATTGGATCATCGCTTCTTCTTCTTTGATATGGTTCTTCTAGGAAGACGAATGTCTCGAACAAGAACCCAGGACGTAGGGAATCCAGGTAAGAAGAAAGGAATTCGAATAAAAGAGTATAGGTTTGAAAGAGTGAGAATTTCCGATTTCATTCATTAAAACTTCACGTTACAGAATACCATTGTTTATATAGCAGAAAATTATAGCAGAAAATTACAGAGTGTAGTTAATTCTGTAAACTAACAGAATTAACTGACTATTAGTATATTCTATAAATCTTCCACCTCTGGTAGTCTTCGTCGATAGACCGTTCGATAGCCTTCTTCCACCGATCGCTCGGTAGCTTTAGATTTCTTCCACCGTTCGGTAGTCTTCTTCCACAGACCTTTCGGTAGCCTTCTTCCACCGACTGCTCGTTAGCTTCAGATTTCTTCCACCGTTCGGTAGCCTTCTTCCACAGACCATTCGGTAGCCTTCTTCAACAGACCGTTCGGTAGTCTCAGACTTCTTCCACCGTTCGGTTGACTCTTCAATGATATCCTATAACATTCTTCTCCTTTTCACCGTCTACCAAGGATATTTCGGTCACGATCCTCATATCTCTCGATATTAAAAAAAGATGGAGAAAAAAATCCTTTCTTGAAATAAAATAAAAGGAGAGGAAATTCAGGGAAACGAAAGGAATGAAGATTGAATAGGAAAGAGAGAAAAGAAGAGGAAAACTAAGCTAGAAGAAGGAGGTATTCCGTTGCAATGTTCACCTTCTGTTCCTTTGCGACCTTGTTAGCCTGAGGCATGGCCACGGTCTTCCTTGGCCCATCGGAAACAGACTTTGCTGGAGGAGGAGGTGATGCAGTAGTCTCCGGAGCAATGACATAGGGAGTAGCGACGACTACTGAGGCGATTTCGCCGTCGGATTTGACGATGGCGGCGAGGATGTCGTCGTAGAAGGTCTCGACGTCCATGTCAGCCTTGTCGGACTCAGGGACGACAACACTTTCACCCTTCGAGAGCTTGTCGCCCTTAGATTTGATCCAGGAGACAATTTTGCCTTCGGTCATGGTGAAGCTGAGGGCGGGTATGAAGATTTTGCTGATCTTGGCTTGAACGGAGAAGCGATGACGAGGGAAGGCGGTGAGGGAGGATGAGGGTGTTAGGGTTCCAGAATCTTCCTATTTTCTTTTTTATTTTACTAATTTACATGTCATAATTTAATTATTTTCAAATAATAAAATAATACACCTCAACATATTTATTATGCATCATATAATCACATTTTAACATGGTTTCTACCACTTAACAAAAATGGTTTAATTGGTTCAATTTTTCAAAATTTAGGATCCAATTTCATTTTCAACAAGAGTATCCACTTTAGATTCCACTACGAGGATCATCCAAGGGTTTAAATTAACAAATTTACAATGAAAAAAAATTGTCTAATGATATATCATTATTTATTTTTGAAACTTTTTTACATTTTTGTCCTAATTCTATTAAATTTCATAAATTAAGTCATACTCATATAACAAACTAAATTATCATTTATAATATAGGCTTAATACCCCTTATGGTCCCTATTTTAGTTAGGTGTGTTTGATTTGGTCCCAGTTTTTTTTTATGTTCAATGGTTTCCTAAAGAATGTAATTTTGTTCAATTTAGTCCTTTTTGCAAACGGCGTTTAAATCATTAACGATAGACAGTCCAAGTGTGCACAAGACTAATGAGATGACATTTAACTTCCGCCACGTCACCATCTTCTTCAACCTTCAGCCCAAACAGAAACTGAAACCCTACTTTCTCTCTAGTCACCTAAGCCTAGCGCCGCCATCGAACCCTAACGCCACCACCGCCGTAGAGATTGTCCAAAGTCATCATGTCGCCATGAAGCTGCTCCTGTAGAGAACCATGGCAGCCATCACACGCAACTTCCATGGTCACTACCATCAAAGTCGCGATCTCCCCCAAATCACGAACCACCAAGTCTTCACCGTCAATAATGTCGCAAGCCACCCTAATCTCGAACTCCATTCGAATCTTCATTCTCGCGCATCAGCCATGAATCATCCAAATCGAGAGCTTCATTGTCAACGCGACAATCCTTGCCACCGTCACACAAAGCTCCAAGGCCATCATATTCTCCAACCTACAGAGAGCCACAACGAAATCCAGAAAAATCCCAAATCAAAGAAACCTAGAATTGTGTCGCTTCTTGCCTTCATTGGCCACCATGAGTGCTTTCTTACACAACTAGGTTTGTCTTCTTCATGCTACCATGAGCCGCACAATTCGCGAAATCATCCTCCATTGAAGCAAAACTACGAGCAGCGTTTTCCTTCTTCTCGCGGCGCAGGCGCAGGAAGGTTTCCCCAAAATGCAGAACCCTAATTTTGGGCTGAAGGTTGAAGAAAATGACGACATGGCAGAAGTTAAATGTCATCTCATTAACGATTTAAACGTTGTTTGCAAAAAAGACTAAATTGAACAAAATTACATTCTTTAGGACAACATTGAAGAGAAAAAAAAAACTAGGACCAAATCGAACACACCTAATGAAAATAGGGACCATGAGGGGTATTAAGCCTATAATATATGATCTTTTTTCATATTATCTTTCCCAAAGTTAAAAACGATAGTTAATTCTCATTACCATAATATTTTTTATTATGTAAATCCAATTTAGTAAAGTCTGAATAATCTTTCAACGAATCATCATACAATACACCTTATAATCACACTTACATCACATACATATATAAAATTAGCAACAACTCTTAGTATATTATGATACAAGTCTTGACTATCCCAGTCTCACATAGAAATAGATACAATGTGTATTTTTGAGTTAATTCCCTTATATTTAATGAAGCTTGATGCTAGCAGTTGTAAACATAATGTTCACGTTTTAAATTAATATAGCATAATGTGATATTTATATTGTGAATAATTTATGGTTTAACTAAATGTCTTTATTAGTGAAACTTGATGCTTGAACCTGATAAACAAAATGTTTACCATTTGAGTTGATATTATATAGTGGTTTGTCAATAAAAAAGTTTGCTCAAGGCACGAGACGAAAATTCTCTAGGCATGAAGCCAAGCTAAACTTCTTGAAATTTTGAAGCTAAACCAAAGATAATCAAAGCATGAATTTGAGCTAGAGATATTCAATGTGTGTAACTAATCTAGAATTTCTCTAGACTTAAAGTTGCTAAATGTGTGGAATTGAGTCTTAGATGCTTTGGGTCTAAGGTCAAGCTAAACATACTCAATTATGTTAAGCTAGAGATGTTGAAGACGTGAGACCAAGCCAGATATGCTCAAGACATAGAGCTAAGCCAAATATGGATCACTTGAGTGTGAGAGTTGTTCTAGTAGAGAAAATTTTGCAAAATCAAATCTAAATCCACCTGCAAATGATGCTCTAGTACTAGTCACAAAGTGAACAAAAAGTAAATATCAAACACTAATAGTGAGAATGGATTGAAGTGTTTCCTCTTTGATAAGAAAAGTTAATACATAGGTTATTGGTGACAATTTATATTCTTAGAAGATAATCTCTGATATAATATAAATTATCTTTTTATTGATGACATGTTATCACAATTGCATTGAAGATTGTTAGATAAACTTAAATTAGGAGGGTGGTTTTGTAATTTTGTTTTAAGTCTTATTTTATTTCTTATTATGATTGTTGTTACTATCACAATATGCTTTTATTTTGGTTGGTTATTGTGTCAGTTTTTGTGCCTAGCTAGGTTATGGAGCTTAGCCTGTTTTCATTTCAGTTTTTTTTTTATTTCTATTTCGTAAAGTTCTATTACTTTTCGGGACTATTTGTAGAACCTCCGACATTTAGTGAATTCAACATACATTGAATTATTAGAGTCATATAATTTGTTTGTGTGCGATTTCTATTTATCAAAGTTGTAAAATAACTTCTATGCTCTGAGTGCCAAGTGGTGCAAAAAAACAGGGAGAGAGAGAGTGAAACATTGTGAGGAAAAAGTGAGTGAGTGAGATGACAAACCTCATGAACAATATGTCTCTACCACAATTATCAAAGAAAGCAAATTATGATAATTGGAGTTTGTAAATGAAGAGCCTTCTTGGATCCTAAGACGTATGAGACGTAGCGAAAGGTGGGTACCAAGAACCCGTATAGGACGAAGAGCAGACGGGGGCCAGATTTTTACATTGAAAAAGACGCGAGTGAAAGAAAAATCCACTTTGTACCCTATTGTACAAAGTAGTTTACAAATCAGACTTTGAGAAGATAGCAAAAGTTGCATCTTCAAAAAATGCATAAGAGAGTATGGAGATTGCATACATAGGGGACAATCGTGTCAGACATGTCCAACTACAGACTCTCATAAGAGAGTTTGGAAACTTGAAGATGAAGGACAAAGAACGATTGAACGAGTACATAACTCGGCTAGAAAAGGTGGTCAACCAACTTGGCAGGAATGGAGAACCATTGTTAGCCAGTCGGGTTATGGAGGAAATCTTGATATTATTGACAAATGATTTCGAAAGCATCATGTGCACCATCGAAGAGTTGAAGGACTTGTCTGGACTCTCAATTGAAGAGCTTACTAGGTCACTTGAAGCCCACGAAGAAAGGAGAATGAAGAAGAAGGAACCTCTTGACCAAGCACTACAAGCGTAGCTTGACTTGAAGGGAACTTGGAGCACTCAAGGTCGAGGTCCTGGAGGCAGAGGACGAGGTGGACATGATCAAGGTGACGTTGAAGCCAACACATATCAAACCGAGCTACAGAATTGGCGTGGCTGTGGTCAAGGAAGGGATCGAGGAGGTCGGTCTAAGTCAACAGTGAAATGCTTCAAGTGTGGCAAGCACGACCACTATGCAAACGAGTACAGACTGACAAGCTGCTACAATTGTGGCAAGGCTGGTCACATAGCGAAGTTTTTCCAAATTGAGAAGAAGAAGGAGAAGAATCTTCTCAAAAAAGAAGATGAGCAAGAGATAGGGATTGTAATGATGACGATGAGCTCAAATATCGAGTTGTCGAGCTCGAGCACGAAGGCCGAGCTATAGATCGGATGCCAAGCTGCATTCAATTTGTATGGAGAAAAGGAGATCAGGTGTCAAGCTGGATCTATGTTCTAGGAGGATTTAAAGATCAAATGTCGAGCTCAACTTGAGCTGTGTGGCGAGAGTGGTAGTCGAGCTGGGCTCAAATGTGAAATAAGAAGTTGAGCTTAGTCTAGGCTGCTTAAACAACTCGGTATGGTATTTAGACACTGAATCAAGCAATCATATGTCTGGAGATGAGAGCTTCTTCAATGAACTCGCCAAGATGGAGGTTGGATTCTTGCCATTTTGAGATGATTTCAAGGTTGTGTTGTAAAAGGGCGTGGAACAATCTCACATGTAGAAGGATGGATGGATTGGAGAGATAAAGGATGTTTTCTATGTTCTCGAGCTGAAGAGTAATATTTTGAGCATGGGTTAGATGATGAAGAAGGGAAACTCATTTGATGAAGGATTGAGTACTGTACTTTAAGGACAAGCACAATCGTCGTAGCGTGAGTAAAGAAGAAGAAAAACTAAATCTTTAAATTGAAGTTGACATTCTGCAGAGGAAGTGCTTGAAGCTGGATGTGAAGGACAAAGCCATGGTGTGACATTTCTGGTTTGGCCACTTGAACTTTAGAGGCCCGGTCAAGCTGTCAAAGAAGGATGTGGTACTTAGATTACCAAGCGTAAAGTTTGAGAAGTTTTGTGAAGAGTGTGTACTCGGAAAGCATTTGAGGACTAAATTTTCGAAATCGTTTGTGTTCAAGGCAGAAGAACAACTTGGCCTGATACTGTAAAGCCTCAGAAAATTAAACCGTAAGCCATCTGTCAAATCAAATTAATACAATTAAAAACCTGTTCAGTGCAATTAAAACGCACTTCCATAACTCTGCCATTCACGCCAAGTGTCACCAGGGAAGATTGGAAGTCAGTCAGAGGAGTGCAGGTGGCAGCAAGAGGACACACGGCCGTGTGGACGTGGGGCAGACAAAAATGATTTCTGATAAATCTGCCTCCACTCTCTTTGCATGCACCTTCTCCCTCCCGAACTCAGACTCCATTTTTCTCCACCTTCTCTCTAGAAAACCTCCAACTTCTCTCTACTGTAACTCACACATCTCTTCTCCGATCACGTTTCAGAACCGTAGAAACGTTCCCTGAGACGTGAGCGTCATTTTGGACTGAACAGATTGAGAATCTGAGCTGGTAAGTTCTCGTCTCTGACCGTTCGTCCATTAGGTTCATGCGAAACCAAGTTCTGGTTGCATGTTTGGGTTATATGTCTGAGTTGTTGCTGATTTTTGGTGTTTAGATTAAGTGGAAGTTATTAAGTGAATCTGAGGATAGAACGCTGTAAGAGGACGAACCAAACCCTTGCATTAGGACGTTTCACTACTGATCCAGGTAAGGGAAGCTTATTAATTTAATTGATACTTGTATGTTGTATGCAAGCAGAACTGAATGTATGAAATGTATGCTGATTGAGTATGCATGAACGATCGCTGTTGTACTGAATGAATAGAGTATATGTTGGTTGTAATGTATGTTTATGGTTGATATGCATGAATGGGAATATGGATAATTATTGTGGAGTATGAATTGTTAATATGAATTCTATAAAGTATGTGTATTGATGATTGATATGAAATTATAAGATATGAGAAATGTTGAGCTAGAATATATGAAAAATATGAATCTGATATTCTTTACCTTGATAATGAACGCTCGTCATCGAACGGTCTTATACCGTTTGGTTTCCTAGCAAATGGCTTAAACATGGAATTCTTTCATTCAGAAAGAAATCTGATCGAGAACGAGCGTCCTCCTGTGAAATGCTATGTTTGAGCGTTCGTTTCAGCCTAGCGATATCCGAGTCTCTAAAATGGAATAATTAAAAATTTATACCCGTATACTTAAAATTAGTAACGCTCGGTCTTATACCAAGCGTTCGTCCTGATGAACTCTCGGTCTTATACCAAGCGTTCGTCCTGATGAACTC